CGGGTGTGTGGAAAAACCCGCCGCCTCGCCGTTTGGAAAAAAACGTTCAGCCCGTGGCCCCGCGTTTCCTTTTACATTTTACGTAGTTGCCCTGTTGCCCTCTTCGCGTACTTTGCTCTATAAGTCTGGTAACCCTCGCTCTCTCTCGACATTCTCCTCCTACCGTTCTGTTTCCCTCGATCCCTCCACGTTCTCCTCCTCTTCTCCAATCTACTTGACCGGTGCGGAGAAGCGAAACTGCACAATTTAGGGAGAGAATTTTGTTTTATCGCTTTGTTGACCTCATTTTCGGGTGAGGTCTTAACTTCTCTCCTTAGAGCCCAGGCTCTAGCTTTAGGCTTCTTTTGTTTGACTCTCCTAGAGGACTAGTACGTGACCCACACTATTTAGAAAATTCGAGCTATAAAATTGGTATTATTCGGCCCCAGCTCCTCCCCAGTTCAACTCCCGCACTTCACGCAGAAAGAAATTCGGCTCTCCCGCTCGCCTCACCCGCCCCTCCGCTCGATCCCGCTTCCCCTCTGTGATCCGAGCTTCTTCTCCTGTTCGCCTATTTCCTTCTCCCGCACAACCGAGAGCCCACTCGACTCCTTCCTTCTCGCCCACGACCGAGAGCCTCGCCTGCTCTCCTCTCAGTGAACTGAACTCTCTCCTTCTCTACGTCGAGCCTGCTCATCTGCTTCGCTCTCCCCTGCACCGAAGCTTTCACCCACTCGCCCCCTCGCCTCCTTCCTCACTCGATCGAAGCCACAGACCCCCACCTTCCTCTCTGCGTCGAAGACCCTCGCCTCTTCCTCTCCCGCTGAAATCTTCTATTTAAAGCTCTCTCACTTCTCTCGCAAGTTGAGTAAGACCCTGAAAAAGGCATTTGAGTTCATCAAAGGTTTGCACCCTCCTAAGGTATTGTTTTCTGATTCATTTTCTCGAAGTTTGTCGATTCAATCATACATGCTTTCAAATCTCAAATAAATTCTAGATTCTTAATAGTAACTATTTTGGTTATGCCCAAAGAAGATTTATTTGCTTTGAATCTGAAATTTTCACGTGTTTAATCCCAAATTGGTGAAAATCAGAAATTAACATACATATACATTTACTTTTGGGAAGATTTAAGGCTCTTGGTTTCAACTGCTCTTCTCTTTGTGGACTTTTATCTTCCTGCTTATCTCCTTGGCTGCATCTTTTCCATTTCGTTTTATTTACATCTTACTTCAACGAGGAATGACTTCTATCTTTCTTTGCTCATTGAAATTTCTAAGTTGATGGATTAAAGTTTGGTCATAGTTATGCACTCTGGATGAGTATTTGTTCATAGAGATAATTAATTACATATGCAGCATACAATTCCTCGGGAAATTTTACTTCTAACACTATGAGTTTTAATTCTTTTGTGGATGTGCCACTTTACCTGTCATTTTGAGAGCGGTAAGGTGGTGTTTAGAACTTTGAAATTGTTGTTTAGAGTCATTGAGAGATGTAGAAGTGTTGATTGAAAGTTGTTCTTTGTTGTAAGTGGTTGGTTGGAAGCTGTTAATCACTATAGAAATGTTGTTCGAGGTTTAGAATTGTTGTGAGAGCTGTTTAGAAGCAGTTCTTTGCTGTAAGTGATTGTTTGAAAGTTGTTTATTATAGTAAGTGACTGTTTGGAAACTGTTAATCATTGTAGGGGTGATGTCCATCACCGTATAAGCTTGTTAGTTGCTGCCCGGAGTCGTAGAAGGTCGTAGGATCACCATGTAAGCTTGCTAGTTGCTGTCCGGAGCCGTAGGAGGTCGTAGGATCACCATGTAAGCTTGCTAGTTGCTGCCCGGAGCCGTAGGAGGTATAGGCTTGTTAGTTGTTGCCTGGAGCAGTAAGAGGTCGTAAGATCGCCGTGTAAAGTTACTAGTTGTTGTCCGGAGTTGTAGGAAGCCTTAGGATCACTCTTGGGAGTTCCTAGCTGCTGTCTGGAGTCATAGGAAGCTTTAGGATTACCGTTGGGAGTTCCTAGTTATTGTCTGGAGTCATAGGAAGCTTTAGAATCACCGTCAGGAGTTCCTAGCTGCTGTTAGGACTCGTTTTGTTGCTTTTTACACTAGAAATTTTGTTTTATCCCTTTTTTCTGCAAATTAATTTAAATTCCCTGCAAATTATATTATGTTTTATGAGTTAATCACGCAGCGGGCGAGAACAACAATAGCAGATACGTCAGATACGCATCTACATTTTATTTATGGTCATTTTATCACTGTAATTTACTCTTACTTTAATGTATCAAGCAAGCCTGGTTGCGATTTCATTTTTAAAACAAAACAATTTTAAAAAATTCAACAACCTTTTCAAAACTAAACAATTTTCAAAAATTCCACAACATTTTCAAAATAGAACAATTTTCAAAAATTCAACATTTTCAAAACAAAACAATTTTTCAGAAATTAAACAACATTTTCATAACAAAACAAAATGAAAAGCATAATACGTACTTTTAAATTTAAGGGAGTCCCTCGGATGAGGTAACTCACGGTTGCTAACGAGAGCTCCCCAGTTTAAATGAGCTTGAAAACTCTTTCAAACTAAATAAATTCAAAATAAAATAGTGATATCGGAAAGAGGGAACCGTGAGATCCTAACCGGTGTCACTCTAATCAACTTTAACCCCCCCCATAATGCTTGAATGAAAAAAAAATCAAAACCTTGAAACATACCTGGTAAAACCTTTTGAACATAAGATTTTAGAGTTTAGTGTGGTTCAAAAAGTTGCACAGACTCGCTTCAATAGAGCGCTCCTAACCTACCGCACATGTGGGGGTCCAATCCACACTAAACCCTAAAGATTCTAGAAACCTTCCTTCCAAAGATGTTTAAACAAACGACTCCAGAATTCAAAAGAGTTGACTATACCTGCCCAAGAAAAAAATGAGCGAGGCATGCCAACGGAAGAATGGAAGCCTGACCCATGAGGAACATAAACACACTACTGATGTATGAGGACAACCTTCTGATCAAAATAGAGAGAGAAACTAGTCCCCAGCGAAGTCGTCAGATCCTGTCGGTCAACATTTTTTTTATTTTGAAAATTAAAAATTTTAAATTTAAATTTAATATAATAGGTATATAATGAGTTTTAAAAGTAGTATGTTTTAATTTTCAAAAAAAATGAGACCAAATTAATTTTATTAGTCTAATAGTTTGTATAATCGTGTCCGATACAGCGAAAACTACACCTTCCCAAAAGATACGTGTATACCTCGGCGATGGACTCAATCTTGCAAACTAAGAGATTTGTGATATTATTTGGTCAGCGAACTTTTTGTGTGACTCACAAGTTCCCCTACCTAATATAAAAATTAAGTAGAGTTTATTTTATCTGAGTTCCAAGTTCCCTATAGAGGCAAGCCCCTTTAGTTAATTGC